AAAAGCGGGGGGGGGGCTGGGGGGTTTTTCCCGGGCCCGGGTTTTTAATTCCCAAGGGGGGAAGGCCCGGGGGTTTTTGGGGGATTCCCATAAGGGGGGGGCTCCCCCCTGTAAAGGGTTTTCGGCTTTTTTGGTTTATTTCCTGGGGTGGGGGGGACAGTACGTTTGGACTTAATTTTTTTTTGGGGGTTTTCGCGGGGGGGGGGGGGAAAAACCTTGGGCGGGGGTCCCAAAAAACGGGTCCAGGGGGGGGGGAAGAGATTCCCCCCCCCCCCCCCCCCCCCAAGACCGATCTTCCAAGCCTATTGCTCCACAAGCACGCTTGCGCCAACACAGACATGTTGGTCTTCGAAACATCTTGTCGAAGGCGTTCCTCAAACGTATCGTGCAGGGTGTAACGGGATGAAAAGGTGCATGCATACCTCTTGTCGTGCCGGTTATAACGGGAGTCGGCGAGGATGACCAGGCCGTAGTCGGTCTTGCTGCGGATGACGCGCCCGATGCACTGCGCGCACTGCCGGATGGCGTCGAAAGTCAAGAAGTCCCCCTCCCGAATCTGAGATCAGCGGCAAACAAAAAGTAACGACAGCGGTCGCCGTGAAGAGGACGGCCAAGGAGCAGCGGAACAACGGAAGACGAAGAGGGACAAAAAAAAAACAAATGGGCACAAGAAGGTACGGCACCCGATACTCAAAACGACAGCAGCTGCATCAACAGGAATCAAAATAACCAACAACACCTGCTTCGAAGGAAATCTGTAACCAAGGAAGCCATGCTACGCGGCTGCGAAACTGGAAACGAACCAGCTACAGGAACCCTGAGCTTGGACGCATGTTACCTGAAAGGTAGACCTCAAGTACTCCAGCCTTGCCCTCAGCACGTGGCTGAGGGTGTACTGAAAGGGCACCCCGAACATCACCACCGCACGGCCGTAATGCCGGTCGAAATCGATACCCTCCGCCACCTGAAACAGAGAGAGAAGAAGAAGATATGAATCGTTTTATGCGTTCAAGTCCTTGTTGTTGTGGGTTGCTTGCTTCGGTGCTTGCTGTTGCTTGTCGTAGCGCTCCAGACAGGTCGCCGTTGCCGGTTTCGACGTTGCTTTTCGATGCATGGGCACATCGATACAACAACCACCACCGAGCAACATCACCTAACGACCACAGCGATAGCGACGCCAGCGCCTCAGCCCCAAGATGGTAGCTACAGCTACAGCTTTAGCAATGCGATGTCAAGTCAAGCAACACACGTACCTCCTTCTGCGGCACAACTCGTAAGTCGTCTTCGCTCGCTGCATGAAAGTATCCAACCAATCAATCACATCATCGAATACCTTCAACGTCAGTATTTGTACCTCTTTAGAGCCCACTACAAGACACACCGCACCACGACCCTGTGTACCTTCTTCATTGCCGGGTGCCCCCTACGCCTCGCTATGCGCCTTGCGTTCATTCCACTCATTCACCTTTCCCCTGGCGACGGAAAGAAAAATCGCCCCTCTCCCGCAGTCGCACGCACGCTTGAAGTTGTCCAGGGCAAGCGTCGTCTCCACCACGTCCTGATTTATCGCACAAAACGTACAATAAATTTCAATCCACAAAAAAAAAACAAATTGCGAAGATTGTTTTTGATCCTTTATGACATTCACATTTCAATCTTCGTTGATAAACGATTTCGTTGTGGCAAATATAACCGGGAGGGAATGCGAATACAAACTACTATATTGAATCCGAGTGTGTTGTCTGCCTGCCCTAGCCACGTCGGGGGAAAAATGGCACCTAGAGTTTCAAGAATGTTGGGAGCGGCGAAATTGTCGTCGCTGTGAACGTGGCACGTGAGCGACTACAGCTAGTGGCAGGGATGGTGCTAGTGGCAGGGATGGTTCACAGATGCGGCGGAAGACGGCCATCTACAGCGGAACACTGGCTAGAGGCGCCTTCGCCGTAGCTGGTGCAGGCAGTTTATCGCAGGTTTTGCCTGCACTGAAAATGCTGTTGGTACTCTTACGCGTACTCGCGGAAAAGAATGGGCACACTGTCTATACAACCGTCGCCCCACAACCACTACGAACTTGGGAAACAGGTACTCCGTCTCCTGATTTAGTCACGGGGTGCTCCGCAAACAATCCTATGCTAATACCAAGATAATCGCTGTTCGGGTTCTCCCACAGAGGACATAAGAAACGAACCTCGCGCTCGACAAGAGTGGGCGGTACGGGTTTTCCCGTGCGGTACTGCTGCTGAGCAGACATCCGCGGCAAGAGCTCACCTTTGTCCCGAAGAAGACTTCGTTTCAAGAACAGACGGCGCAAGAGCTCACCTTGGTTTCAATTAAGAATTCGATTAAGACTTTGCGCCTTTGCAACAACAGACGCCGCAAGAGCTCACCTTTGTCTCGATGAAGATTAACTTCTTTTCGAGGACTCTCTTCAGCACGCCAAGCTCGTCCCACTTCGACACGATCATTTCCATGTAGCTGTAACTGCGGTCCCGAAACAAAAGGGGGGGTAAATATCAGCAATATGGGAACAAAACGTGAGCCTTGCTGCGGAGCCTGGTACGTAAAAATAGAGGGGAGAGCGCGTCAAACACACACACAGCGCACCGAACGAGAGGGATAAATCGAACCCATACATATCAGAGCACACGCGTGCGCAGTCGATCGACGTGCGGAATAAAAAAAAGTCATCACTCGGGCACAACTACGGACGCACTAAAGGCTCAAGATTTCGATGAAGTTCCAGTCGATTGGAATCACTCCATGTACGTGATCGTGCCGCAGCTGTTTCGTCGAATCATCTACTGGTTGTAGAAAGGCTGGTTTGGGCAAACACAAAACGCGAAAAAAGAGACTTGAACAACAAATCAGAGAAAGAAAGCCGTCGGTACGACCACGACAGTGTCGGGGCCAAGAAGGGTCGAACGACAGGGTACCTTTCTGTATACACTGGTGCAACGACAACGACACCAACAACGGCAACCACCACCCAGCCCTATCATCAACACCAACAGCAGCAGCAGCAGCAGCAGCAGCATCAGTAAATCGCCCAAAGCATAGCATAGCATAGCATAGCATACCTGGTAAAGAAGCAGACGACGCCATCGGGAACGATCGCGGCCAGCTCGATCATCAGAGCCCCGTAGTTTCTGACGACAGACGGGTCGTCTCTCTGGTCGAACTTGGTGCTCATAGGGAGCTGATCCGACCCCCTGCAGAGATGGGGAGGCATAGATTGGCACGGGTTATGGTGAGGGGGGATACAGTTATTCTCTCTGCCGAAAAACACAAGAAAGGTACAGCAACTCCGAGAGGCGAATTTTCAACGCGGGTGGGACTACGTCAACGACGCCTGCAATAATCATGTCGTCCATAATATAGCTGTACGCCAGATTGAGCGTCCAGGAATTACCGAGCACAGCGAAGGAAACAAACACACGCGTTATGCATCACGCACGCATTCAAGAAGCCTCTCTCAGCCTCCAAGCATGGCGTCATGGCGATTTAGTACTGTTATCACCTTTCCCCTACCTACCTACCTACCTACCAACTTTCCCTCGGAGTGCGATTTTTCCCTTCACTACTTGCCACTTCCATCAGTCTCACAAGTCCAAGCACACGCCGCCACACACCTCGTGACGACCAGGGGACAGATACACTTCCGCACGGTGGACATCGACAACGCCGTCCGAACCACGGGGCTGAAACCCAGCAGCTTGGGGTACAGGTCGAGAGGAGACAGGGTTCCCGACGTGATCACCACCTGTTGGCGGGCATGCGCCGAGAACAGCACGGGCGACGCGGGACGAAGAGTTGCACACCAATACCCGGGGCGTCGCAAGCAACACCAGAAAGAACCGCGGTGGAGCTTGGCACATTTCTCAAGTACATGAATTTTCGCGTGCGCGACCTTGCATGCTGTTGTCAGACAATGCCCGAAACACTTTGGAAGTAAGGTTTGGTTCAACTGTATCGCATTTCTGAGAAAGACCGTGCGTCGACTAGAAATCCCGCGCAACACTCAGGGCGTGAGAACAAACAGAAGGCGCACCCCCCAAACAAAGGTACCCCTCCCCCCCGAAAACCCGGTATATCCCTCTGTCCCGGCATTGTAGGGATGCGAGGTCAATGGTCTAACGACTACGGTACGTGTTTTGACATTGGTACCCCGGCCACATGAGCCCACCCCGGGTACGAAAAACGCCTTCTTACCGAAGCGAAGCGCTCGAAGACGGGCCGGATAGCGAGGGACGCGTCGAGGCACGCCAGCCGCATCACGGGCTCGTAAACACCGGGGACCACGCTCCCGGTAGGCTCTATCACCACTGCGAAGCCTTCCGTGTACGTGCCCACCTGCCCAACAAACGTTCGTGTGCGGCATCGCGACGAGAAGAAGGTGAAGCCGGTGGGGTATCATGGGGGGGGCAACAGCGCGCGGCGGCCGAGGGAATGTTGAAAAACAGGCGATGGTGGAGTGGGAGTGCGGGGTTCTGTCGCACCCGCAGGAGCAGAGTTTTCCTAAGAGATGACAGGCTATTTTCCGTGGCGGGTTCGGGGGGAGGTTAGGGGCTCAGTTGCGATATGGGGGTGGCACCGTGTGTGCATTCCCGTAAAGAATGGGGGTCCACCGATTGCATTTGCCGAAAAACGTGGCCGGGCGGCTGCTGAGAGTGAAGGCGAGACAACGATAGCAACAGACCTACAACGACAACAACGACGACCACCACAACGACATCAGCAGCAGCAACGTCGACACTGGCAAGCGGCGGAGGCAGGGTTATTCCCTCAGCTCACCAACGTAGCGAAGTCTGCCACGTCGACAAGGGGGCGGAAGTCGTCCAGCCCCGTGACCTCCAACGTTCTGGAACATAACATACGAAAGGCAGGAGACAGAAACGGCACGAAAATGACTAGCATGACAACCACATTGTAGGATCTAGTCTCTACATACACACGAGCGCACAGGCAAAACCGAAAGCAATCGCATCCAAAAAGAGAAATCAAACGTCCAAAAAGAGAACAGTCAGGAGCAAGCCAACAGGTGAGAGGCTATTAGAAATTCTGGTTTTGAGTGCATCCCCCCCAACCCTCCAAAAACCAAACGGGGTAGAACAGGCGAAGGTCACATAAAAATTCGCACAGGCTTCTTGAGGGAAAACCAAGGCGCTGCACCCACTCCAAACAAACCGCGATTTCAGCCTGCCTGCCTCCCACCCCCCCGACCCGGCCAGCGGATCGGCATTTTCTACTTCTTGCCACCACCGGCGTGTTGTGATTAGCCCACCGGTGTGCGAGGTCGATGCAACAACAAAAACAACAACAGCAACAACAACAACAACAACAACAACAACAACAACAACAACAACAGCAAACACAACAAACAAAACACAGACAAGGCGCAAAACACACACACGAGACCAAGGACGCAAATCAACGCTTTTTTGCCACACGCACCGCAGGAGCGAGTTCAGTCGGGAGTAGGCGAACTTGAGCGGCTTCCTCTCCAGCGCCGTCACCTGCTGCATGCGGTGGACGAACGCCAGAGGTGTCTCCGACTCGACGCTCTGCACGCGCACGCGCGTCTTGAAGTGCTCCACGACCTTTCTCGGTGTTTCGGCCGGGATGACAACACCCCGGTGGTGGTCGCCGACAACGACGGGAAAAAAAGTTGGCCGGAGATTCGGTGGTCGGGCAACGGTCGGGGAGTTGAAGGAACGGAGGAGGGGATAGGGTGGGGAACAAACGAGTCGTTTCGGTTTTCCTTCATTCAAGGATACGTGCGTGGTCGTTTGAGTCACGGCAAGGGGCCAGGCGACGAGGGGGTGATACCTCACAATATGGGCGGCGGGTGCTACTACACCCCCCACGCTGGTTGACATCGCGCAGGGTAAAACGCATTCCCTGGTTCGTACTCCCTCGACCGGCGCCATCCTGCCTCGTCACGCACGGTGGATTTTGGTGGAACCCGACCCCTCGTTCGATCCCGAGAATGCTTCCATACACAAAACCATTCAAACTACCTACTAGGGTTACGCTTTTCTTTGCACCAATACCGGTAGGAACCCAAGCCCAGCTTCGTTCTACGCCAAACCTCAGGGGTGTATCAACAACAAGACCAGCAGAGGCCGAACGAAAGAAAAGGGTCTGAAGGCGATCACGACGCGGAGCACGTCGCCAGCGTCGAATATATACGCTAGGCGAGCAGGGCAGAGACAAGACTAGGCATGCATGCGCTCGCTCTTCTCGGACTCGGAAACCCTGTCAAGACTATCAAGAATAACCTCGAGACGACGCAACGCACCGCACCTTTCGCATGAACGACACGAAATGCTCCGCCCTTCGTATGTTACCGGGCACCGCCTCCTGCAAGATATCGGCGGGAAGCGCCGGGTTAGCCGGAATCGCGTCCGCCGCCGCTGCCACCTCCGTCGCACCGCCGCCGCTGCCGGCGCTAGCCCCCGCTCCCGCTGCTCCGCCGCCGCCGCCGCCAGCAGCGGCGGCACCCCCCGCGCCCGCAGCGCTGCCGGCTACGCCCCCGCTCGCTCGGCCCAAGCCCGAGTCTGCGAGGCCGCTGACCAGGCGTTGGTACTCCGCATTGAGCCTTGCTTGGTCCGTTCGTTTCATCTCGGCCACCTAGGTAGGTCAACCACGGTATCGGCAAACAGAAAATTGTGGGAGCACGTATTGGGGATGGCCATGTTGGCGACAAAAAAATCGTGGACGTACGCGAAGGGGAAAATATTGCAAAAAAAAACGTGGATGTCCGTACAAGGGACCGACGGGGTGGTAGTGATGAAAGTAGTGCTGTTTCAAGCCTTTCAGAATGCCGAGACAAGCTGAAAGACCACACCCATCAATATATTCAGACTCGTCTCAGGTTATGCTCCATTTACAGCCGAACTACAAACAGTACCGCCAGCGGCGGCGGTGAAAAAAGCCGCCGAAGTTGTTTGGTGTCGTAGAACAAGAAACCAGATTTTTCACTCGAGACAAGTTCCCTGTGTTCAACAGTAACCCACGAGCACAACCAATTTTTCCAACTCAAGCCAGTTTTCCCACGTACAAAAACAAAGGAGCAGGCAACAGACCAAGCACCTTGGATGAAATCTTCCCAAGGCACCTGGAAGCGGCATCGAGGCTCCGCTTGTCGAGATCTACGCTGAGAGCCTCGGTGCACACGTTGTCGATGTTGTGCGCCTCGTCAAAGACCACCACGCTCTCCGCCTCCAGCTCGCGGGACACCATGCCGGCAACCTACACCAGGCGGCGACGGTATATTTCGCGGCAGACGAGGTGATTGAAAGCGATGCCGCAAAGGCATACTCTCGCCAGAGACGAGCATCCAGCGGCAGGCACATAATTCTTTCCATTTTCGAAGATTTTGGTGATTGCGCCGCACTTGACTCAAGCCGCACACGTTGTTTTTCCTCCACCAATTCCAATACTTTGTGTGACTGCGCCGCAATTGACTTGAGCTGCGCCCAAAGCCCCACCTTCGGGTCCAGCATGTACTGGTAGTTGTACACCAGCACGTTGGCGTGGTTGATGATGTGCCTCGCCAAAAAGTAGGGGCACCAACCCTTCTCCTTGCCGAACTCCTTCAGGTCGTCGAGGCTGTAGATCCCGTTCGGCATCGCGGCGTCGCTGCCGTTCGCCGAGTAGCCCTCAAAGAACTCGCACAGCTCCCCTCCGCCCCTGCACCATATATTCATTTACTAAGACCGGTGTTGTTTATTTTTTCTATCGTGCCAATGATGCGTGGACATCTTGGCAATGCGTGCCCTACGTCGGGAGTTGTAACCTGGGAGCGCGGTTCAGAACTGGAAGTGCCGTAAAACGCGCTTACGCGTGAGTGATCTCGGGTGAGGAAACGCCTGATTCCTTCAAGCATCAACAAGGACGGCGTGAGTTCGCAACACCAGCTCTTCTCTGCGGGCGCGAAGCTGGTAAGCCAAAGAGGCAAGAAAAACAACAGCGCAGGTGGTCCTGTGAGAGGCGGAAAATAAATGCAGGGAGACAGGCAACGGATTACGCGGGATCGAACCCCCTCTTCCCCTCTCCACGTATGCATCTCCCGCCTGTTCACTCTCTCGGTTCCGCTCCTTCTCCCTGTTCTTCTTGTCTCGGGGAAGACCCACGTTCCTGTCCATCCTCAGCGCGCGTACAAGGTTAATCTGGACTACCCGAAAACCTGTCCCTTGCGGTTGTTCCACCTATGGCTACTTCATCCTCGCTGTGCGATCCACCTCCACACCCCCGTCAGGACTGCCCAAGCAAAGAAAGCAAGTTCATTATGAAAAAAAACAGGCGGGGGGTACGCATACCCTAACCCTCACCCCCAGTTTTTCCGATTCTATACTTTACCCGTATGTTTGCATACTTCGAAAAACCTGCCTAGACTACCGCCCCGTCCCTGGTTGTCCGCCGCGTTGCCCAACTGGACTTACCCTGCTTCCGCCTTCTTCCTGACCCAGCTAGCGGTCATGTCTCGGCAGGCCCCGTCGACGGCCTCCCTGTCGCTCTCCTCGATCACTCGCTCGTGAATACACAGGTTTCGACGGGAGCTCAGGCAAAGCGCTAGCACCTGTTAAGGGCGGCGCACACCCGAAAAAAAGTGAGCGGTACATATGTACAACCAGTAAATGTTGTCGAAGCGGTTTGGAAAACGCAGCGGAGCGAACCAGCCTGAAGGAGCACCTACAATGGGGGACGAATTCTACACGGCGACTCCAAAAACATACCCTGGGTTTCATTCAATAGTGGGAACAGCAGTCGTGAACCCGCCGAACAGTGCTCCATTCTGAGCTGGCACCACTCGTAAATTGTACTGCCCGTTGGAACTCGGAGCGAACCAACGGTCGATCCTTTGGTTCCCCCGGCAATTTCGAGAGAATGATTTTCCCAAAACGCAACCACGCAACGTGCGGAACATAATATTCGGCCTCACGCTGAGGCTTTGCGTGTGTACGGCCTTACCAGCGCTAAATGGCGTGCTCAGAAATCGAGCGGTTGATGTCCGACACTGCACAACCACGCCAGCTCACCCTTTCAACGGACCTTTTTTCTGATGTAGCTGGCCCGTTACATGCCGTACAGAGGGGTGCCGCATACACTTCCCGTAAGGCCTCACACCCACTCCACAAAGACACAACGGTACTCGCCTTCTCCCCTTCCGGTCCAAGCTGGTCCTTTCTGTACCCGATGACTCTCTTGAGCTCCTCGATACACTTCATCATCTCGGGCACCGTGCGGGTGCAGTAGATGAGCTTGCCCACCTCCGGGTGGGCAAACTGGTAGGAGGTGATAAGAGAGATTAGGCAGACGGTCTTCCCGGTGCCTGGAGCGAGATGGAAACAGCAGTAGAGGCGGGGTTACGGTCAGCTATCCGCGGTCTCCTTCAGGGGCCACCCATAACCACGTAGGCATTACAATGCGATCGGGAGGCGACACGAGCCAATTTGTACGCCACGTCCGATTGTGAACAAAATGCACAAGTTACAAACAACATTTTGCGATGTTCGTGGCACTGCCGCCCTCCGGTGGTTGGTGTTGAGCGCTGGGTACTGTGTTAGCCCAGGAACGCGCGTAGACATCATGCAATATTACATAACAAAGGGTGCTGAACCCTCAGGCATGTGCCAGGAGCACACCGGCGTGTGCTCTCCCGGGGGGGGGGGGCGCACTTAGACCCAAACCGCTTACATACCCACCACAACCGTACTTCCCATACGCGTATCCCCCACAGAGGACGCACAGATCGGACTCATATCCAAGTACCACAAACAGCCCCCCTACTTGATACGATGCACGATCTTGCACTCAATCCTTCACGACTACTTGTAGTAGACTGACAAATACACCCCTTGAGAAAACCTATTGAACAAAACTGGCTACACACTCAACACAAAGCGCCTCCTTCAGTGTATTCACGAATCCAACGCATTCGTCCCTCTGGAAATAAACTCAAACCGTCAACACAATAGAATAATCTTCAGAATAGTACCCAATAAGTGTCTGTGTGCTGCATCAGAAAAGCGTCGGAACGAAAACGGCCACTCTGGAAAAACAACGTCAAAGAGTTTCCACAACATTTTCGAACAACACGATTGTTCAAATAAATTGACCAATAGAAATGGCTGTTCTGAAACAGCACGGGGCCCCAACCATTACTCGTCAAAACACGTCAAATCCTTCCTCCAACCTAGTGTCCTGTCCAACGACCGAATCCTAAACAGCCCGCACCCGCGAGTCGGTACCGTCGCTGTTGTCCAAGAAACGATAGAAAACGTTACCAAGCATCCATGCAAACAGTCCCCCTGCTGTCACATCTCAAAACCTATCACCTCGAGATTACATCACCATGCCAACAGTCCTCCTGCATTAACATTTGACCTAAAACACAGATAGATAAGAAGACCTGAAACACAAAAACAAATCGATTGCTGCTCCTCTAGAATCATGATCATACATGACATCCCGCCCAACGATTTTCGATGCAAGAGCAGCAAAACATACGAAAGAAGAAAAACGATGGCAACAATAACAGAACTCGCCGCTAGGAAGGCAAAGAAAAACATGAACACGCAACACACATGGCATCAAACTCCAGGAAAAGTTGGTTTCGCATCCTGTCTCCTGAACTGAAATTTCAAAAAAAACACCCGCTCTCCCTGAGCGGCTTGCCTTCATGCATTTCATACAACGCGCTATCTTCCCATTTCTTGCGCGTTATTAAGGCCAGAAACACACCTCAAAGATCGACACTGAACTCTGGACTAACATCAAAACAACAGTATCGAAACATCCTGAGTGTTGAAGTGTCCAGTTCGCAGAAAACACGCGTCTGAACGTACCTCCCTCCATAGCTACGTATGTAAAATGCCATCCACCCATGAGAAACTAGAACCAAATATGAAGCATATCAAGAACCAAAGAAAAATAACCACGTAATGCCGATACCACACTGCTTACTATCCCACGGGTTGCATCAATGCTTGTCTTGTCGCAGCGTACAATTATCATGAAAACAATACAAAAAATTACAACACCCTGTTGCACGCATGTGTTTTCTGCACCAAAAGCGAAAGGTGCTCTAGCGAGGGAAAAACAAAAAAAGAAAGAAACAAAGCGAAGCAAAACGTCTATGTCTTCCGACAAAACCCAAACAAACTCGTTAACGTTTCACATGTTCTCCCAGTTGGCTGTAACAAGGTGAGGTCGTCGCTGCCACCGTTGCCTCGCCGTTCCCCATCGACTCGAGGGTGCCGCCGTTGCAACCGATGCCGCTGCGGCCGTCATGCTCTCCGGTGTCAACGCTGTCAACAGTGACGCCGCTGCTGCCGCCGCTGCTGCCACCGCTGCTGTTGCCGTTCCCCCGCCGCTGCGGCCGTCATGTGTTCCAGCGCCAACACGGCTACTGGTGACGTCGCTGCTGCCGCCGATGGGGCTCTGGCCGAAGCCGCCGCTGCCTTCGCCGCTGCTGCTGCCGCCAACAGAGCTCTGGCCGAAGCCGCCACTCCCGTTCCTGCCCCTATCGAAGGGGCACGCCACCCCCGGCACCGCCCCCCGTCTCCTCGCGCCACGCGAAGATGTCTTCCCGGTGTCGAAAGGGTGCGTCGGGGCTCCACTCCAGGTTTCATCCAGCCCCTCATCCCCGCTCCCATCGCTGCCGCTGCTGCTGCTGCTGCTGCTGCTGCTGCTGCTGCTGCTGCTGCTGCTGCCGCTGTTGTTGCTGCTGCTGCTCACTTCCTCCTCAGCCTTCCCGGGGTCGAAAAGGTCGGTCAGGGCTCCACGCCAGGTTTCATCCAGCCCCTCATCCCCGCTCCCATCGCTGACGCAACACTATCTCGCTGCCGCTCCTGCCTCTTACTTCCTCCTCAGCCTTCCCGGGGTCGAAAGGGTGCGTCGGTTCTCCACTCCAGGTTTCATCCAGCCCCTCATCCCCCTCGCATCGCCGCCGCTGTCCTCGCTGCTGCTGCTTGCTGCTGCTGCTGCTGCTCACTTCCTCCCCAGCCTTCCGGGGGTCTAAAAGGTGTGTCGGTTCTCCACTCCAGGTTTCATCCAGCCCCTCATCCCCCTCGCATCGCCGCCGCTGTCCTCGCTGCTGCTGCTGCTGCTGCTGCTGCCGCTGCTCACGCCCCCCCCAGCACATTGGCTACCGAGCTCGAGAGCTCCAGATGCGACAGACTCCGCCCATTACCTCGAGAAAGGCAGACTCCGCTTCCCAAACCAGCTATTGTTCGCGAAAATGACGGACTCGACAGACTCGACAGACTCGGCCCGCCATTCGTCGAAAACGGCAGACTCCACCTCCTGCGCACGTCCGCTATCAATCGCGATACCAAGTACACCACAAATAGGAGCGCTGAAGTCTCGGTCGCGGAGTTCGTTCGGAAGAGATTCCATCATGTGAACAGACGAAATAGCATCACGGTACGCGCCAAAAACAGGCAATTGCGCCGCCATTCGTCCAAGACTTGTACGAACGTACGAACTTCGGCCCCATCCGAAAACAATTAAGTACTGCTGTACAGCAGCTTGGGTTGTCCTTACCTGTGGGCATCTCTAGCAAGCAGTGACCTTTGGCATCCAGGGATCGCTTTAGCTCGAGCATGTAGTCATACTGCTCTGGATACATGAAGTCATATGGGAAGAAGACGTCCAGCCCATCAAGGTCCAGCCGCATTTTGTGTTGCCACAGCTTTCACTTTACCCGAGGCAGAGCAATAAAGGGAAGTGCTGCACGAACACGTGTGCCTGCGTTCGCCCCGACAGTGGGATTGCCGCCACCGATGCCGCTACCAGGAACCAGGAACAAATGCTGCCGGAGCCGATTGCCTGTGTGCGCAACCTCGCAGCCTATTGAGTCGTCCCAGCAGTGTATCCTGAGACGACTCTCTAGGGCGTAAGCCCGGGAATCTCCACGACAACGATTGCTGAAGGTAGCCTCCAAAACTCTGACCTCACGGAATGTCTCTAGACGCCACCTTGCTTCTGGCAAACGCTCGCGGCCGGTCTGTGGTACAACAGCGCCGTTGCTGCGCTGGGATGCGGCGTGGATGGGGGGTCCCGCGGAATGTCCATGGATGGTATTCCGCCGCATGTTGGTTAGACGGAGGTTTCATTGGCTTTTTTCGCGAGGACGAGAACAACCCAGATAATTCCTACTGCTGCGGTGCATGCGCTAGCTAACAGGGAGTTCGCCGCAAGTGACAGTACGACTTCCAGAACTGTGTAAGCATCTATCTAGCATCAACGCTTGGCTTCGAAGAGCTTGACTCTACACAACGATGGCGATGTCTCTGTCGTCCCTCCGCATCCCGTCGGTGTCTCATGCGACCGATGCTTTTGGAGAAGAAAAAGGACTACTCATTTGCAGGCCAGACCGCAGGTGCTACATTCACAAGATATGTCGCGTTCTGCTGTATTGTCGACGTTTGCCTGTGTGTATAGCTATTGATATTACTGTCGCGTACATGCGTCGATGGTTCCTCGACTCTGACAGATTTGTCGAGGAACGGAACTTGAAATTTTATCTCTGGCAATCAGTCGTTTGTAGGAAAAGGTCTAGTCTAACACCACACCAAACGGATGCCATGGGTCTGCAGCTGTGTCTTGCTATTCCAAGTCGATTCCATATACAAGGATGGAACTCATGCGAGATGTACGCGTGTCGTGTGTCGTAAAAGCGTATGCAGTCTACATGGTGTTGCCGCCACAACCAAGCGTTGCTACAAACAAACGATATATTTGAAGCGTTGCGGATGGCCTCGTAACTTTGACGCCAAAGATACGTTGTACGCGCCCATATGACAACGAGAGAAACAGCGTTCAAACAGACCCCGATGCGACATGATGGGGTACGTGTCTGATGAAGCAAGCTTATGGCACAATGCAGTCTGCCTAAGACAAAACATCATCTACTGTAGACCGCTATGCCCATCATTGCACATGTGCCGTTCTCCAATCGCTGCTTGGGTATTTCCCCCAAGAAGCTATGTACACGTTGTAGAATTCGCAGCGGCTACCACGCTGACCAAGGAGTGGCAAGACCTGTCTTTGTATTGACTGGCGTTTTTTCATCTACTCGCTGCTGCCTCTCTACTTCCCATAAAATGGTAGTTGCGCACCTTTCTTCACCATCCCGGAGGGGTGCTACGCTCTTGTCACTGACGCCGGCGCGGACATCGACTATTCGGACGGCCAGGTGGGTTCAAGGATAAACACTGTTCACAGATTATCGATATAAGGAAGACATACATCGGCACAATAAATAAGAACTACTGCCACCACAATTCAGAGAACTAACCTTTTTCAGTAGTAGTACCGGAGGTACGCACCAGGTCGACCGAAACAAACAAAGGTACCCCTCTTTCATTCCCCTCGACCCGACGTGGATGAGAAAACAACAGAAAACAGCATCTTCAGTGCAGATGCGTCGCGTTTACATTCTGGACTATTCTCGGCAACATGCTTAAAGGTATCCCCTTCCCCCCCATCCCCCTCGCGTGCTCTTTGCAAGGCCGTGTGGCCCGCAGGGTTTCATATGGGCTTGCCTTGGCGGCTGAAAGTGTCCAACCTTGTCACAAAACAGAATGTGGTTTTCGACATGCCGGTAAAGGGATGCATCACTCGCGACAATGTTACCGTGGAGATCGATGTAGCCATCGTGTTCCGGATCATGGGCGACACTACTAAGGCGAGAGAGAACATAAGAGGACACATGTCAACGCTTCATGGGTATTTTGACACAGTAGAGCCACCTGCTGGTCTCGAGGTGCCTTATTCATTCGTGCGTTGATGTTTCCTTCTGCACCAAGACGGCCAATTCTTCCCTTTGAACTCATGCTTGTGGGTCACCTCATGCTCTCGACTTGTTTCGTGTCGAAAAGAGAGACTCGCAACCCTCGCCTTCGCCTACTCTGTTTCCGCAGAACGAAGATCCGAGTTTGGTACGAAAGTTCGTTCACGAAGTGGGAGCCCGGGGGCTAGAGCAGCAGCTGCGCGGGGCACAGGAAGAGGTGATCAAAACAATCAGTGACGTGGGGGGAACCTCTGCATCGGACTACACCCGAAGGACGTACGATTGTACATACGGGGCTGAGAACAAAAAGAATAATGCGATGAAATCAGGCGCTGCTCTTCCTCCGGTACACTACCAATACTACGACAGTAGTGCTGTTTTTTGGTGTTTCCGGAGTCGGTGAGAACGGCGTCGCATATCTACGTTGTATCTCTCGACCCTCGGGATATCCAAGGGCGACAAAGCCGCCTCACTTTCAACTCTCGGTTGGACGATGCGTACACAGTGGACAACGGCGTCTTGAGCATTCGGTTCGCGGCACTCACTGGGTTCCTTTTTCGGTGCGCGCACGAAGCACAGGAAGTGCGAGCGCTCGCGCGAACGATGAAGCACACGGAGGTGTACGGCCTCCGGAACAAGGGCACCCGGGAGGCCATCAAGGGCACGCTTGCGAGCATGGAAGCCGGGGAAGAAGAGGCCCACGGATTGCACGCCACGCCCATGGGGACTCCTCAGCCCGACGAGGTATGTTTGTGCGAGACGCCCAATAAATCTGCCTTTTGTTTCTTGGGTCTTTCCTTCCAGGCGTCAGGTACATTTTTTCAGTATATTCTCCCGCTGCGCCAAAATGTTGTTTCAACGCAAGACGACAACCGTACGCACATGCCAATCGCTTCAACACACGGTCCAGCCCTGTCGCATGAGGAAGAAAGGCGGAGGAAGAAAGGCACAAACCCTAACGGACGGGACACTAATGAAAAGAAAAAGCAAACCGGAAACACTTACACTCTACGTATCTGTGATGCGTCATCATCTTCCGCGTAGCCACAAAGATGACACTGCTGTTTCAAGTGGTGGCACTTACCGAACCCAAAGGCCGGCAGGCGACACCCTCTTAACCGTCTGGTACAACTAATTCCGCAGCGTTGTGCTGTAAGCACGACAGCTGCTCCCGAAGCAGACATCGAGGCCGTTTCTTTTTGCCGTCCAAATGAACCCCCCGTGGGGCATCTGGGAGCCTTTCCTTCACGCGAATTCTTCGTTGAGCTAAAGGTCGAAACTTGAAATTGACATATTTCAGGAAAGTTTGGGCCGGTAACAACCTATCCGCACTGAAACACTTCCGAAACGTCGGCGCGCTAACATTTCCAGGCAGATACCATGTATACCAACTGGGCTTTCAGAAGAACAGGCATGGCAAACGGAAGAAATGGCCGGTGCCCTATTGCGTTAGGCTAGTTCCAGAAATCCGTCGCGCGCAATTGCTTACCCCGTACAAAACCGCGAATCGGCCGCAAGTATCAACATTCGCGAGCAACACAAGGCCGTACTACTCTGGTTCCTCATCGCTTGATACCGCACGTAAGTTGGGCCCGTTCGCATCCGTACCTGCATTGGCCGTACTGTTGAATAGCTAGATGGGGTGTTCTGGTTATTTGCAGAGGTAACAATGCATATTCTCGCGGTCGGATCACAACAATCACCAGGCGGCTACCCTGGAGGGTCAGTACGATGAGCAGGATGCGAGCAACGCCGTGGCTTCGAGTACCAAGGGGAGCGATCACTGTCTCAAGATGAAGGACAGTCTCAACAGGCAGTTCCAACCGCAGGTTACCGCACGCGATCCTTGTCCCGCTTGCCCTGACCTCCTTCTTCGTTGTGGTTCGATTCTCCGTGACGGTCTTGCTACTGGTAACGTGTAGACCAACCAATACGATTCACACACTCGTTGCCATTGTTGACTCTTTTTTCCCTGTCATATTTCCTTCGTTTGCATCTTCAACGAAGCACGGGGACTATCCTTCCGGCACGAACCCTCAACCGATTCCTCGAACAAAAGGTCTCATGCTGGACGAGCTTTTGGTTGGCCTCACGGACCTCAACAACCCAATCCGGTCACGACATAAATACGCATGAATGCTTATTTAGTCGGTGGCACTCGGCAACTTGAAATCCTTGCTTCAACCAACATTGGGCGATCACTACCTGAGGGCAACGAACAGTTCCATCGACACTCGGGTATTCCAAATTGACCCATGCGAACGAAATCCACGCCCGCGGACCTGCTATTGCGCTTTGTGCGTTTACCTCGGGGTGCTTGCTTCGTTCAGGGTGTGATGGTCACGGCGGTGATCATCAAGAACGTCGCCCTCCCGCCCAATATCGCCGAGCAGATGACAGGCAAGACTCTCGTGATCAGCAGCGTCGCCGAGCAAAAGATGAACCAGCAATATGACATGCAGCAGGTGATGGGTGGGATGACCCGCAAACCGGTTGTTCGTAAAAGTAAATTCATAGAAGCCTGCATGACGAAATTGTTTCGCCTGCCGGCATGAACAGCACTGGTCGCTGCCTGCGCTTCACCCCGCATGCTTCGTGTTCAATCATTGCTTTTGCCCTTGTCGATGCTGCGCTCTCCTGTGTAGGTACTCATTTGGTACCGCGTATGTTATACTGGTTCTACCGAATGTCTCTGTAAAGGAAAGAGTCTCTGCGTTTGACTTGATGTCTTTCACCTGGTTATATCGCTGCTCCTTTCGGGAGTCGTATTTCACTTCATCGCACACCATGCACACTCACCCACGAAGTGTCTGGCGTCCCTGCTACACATCCTTGATTCTGGGCGGCTCCATCTTGTCTGCCGTCGTCCCGGCCCAAATTGGTTCATATTGGTCAATTTTGCCCATGTTGGATCGACCACGAATGCGATTGTTTTATTAGGAGAAGTCTAGCTGGCCCAAATCGTTTTCATGTTGTATTTTCATCGATGATCCCATACACGCTGCATCAACGTTCCATCGACTGTCTGTAAGAGTGAATTTCCAGCTCCTCCACAAGTTCCAGCTCCTCCACAGATTCCAGCACCTCCACGGAGTTTGTGCCGGCTTAGACAAGGCTAGCGTGACTCATACCTCATCCCCGATTCCGTGCTGCACGAGTAGTTTGATCTGGCTGCCAATATCCACCAACCAGTGGTTTCCGATTTGACGATGGTTCTCATTCGCGACCAGATCGTGTATGACCAAGAGGTGGACACTCTGAACCAGGCGCATGCGGAGCAGAGAGAGGAGGAGAAGCAGAATTCAGAACAAAAGATGAACGAAGTTCAGGTGAGGCAAGGGAGGTGCACCGGGCGCCAACGGCCTACGTTGTCCTACTCCAGATTTACAGACAATTTCCATCCAGAATTGCACTTCAGTATGTATGTATGCAATATATGTTTCAGAGCAAATACGAGGTAGATCCATACGGCAGTGGTGTGCCTCACTCTCTTGTTTCTTGTATTGTTTCCCGGCTGTCTTTTCACTCTAACTTTCACATATGATATCAGATTGGTAATGCCGGGAGCGAACCCCGCATGACTTGGGTCTGTTCATCCTCAAACTGGTTCATTCCGGGTACCTAATATTTGACAGACGCGCAGAGAGCAGACACTGGGCATCCCCTGAGTCTTTCGGCCAACACTTTGCCTCGTGCCCGCTCTATGTGTATTTCACCTCCCCACTACTGTACATGGAGATCCCATTCGACTTCACTCTTTTGGTACCCACGGAAGACACCCGAATACCCGTATGTATTGGATTATCACTCGTGTTTCAAGCGCTCGGCGGGCCTTGTTGGTGTGAGAATCTGTAAGCAAGTATGAGTAGAGATACCTGCCAGTGAAAGGGAGCCCATTCTTCATTCATGTGGTGCGATATCTACCAGTCCCTGCTCATCCCTGCTCAGGGTTTGAGTAGCCCGAAGCTCCACGAGGGTGAAAAGGCGCGAAAACGTGTGGCCATGCGCGGCTGTGGGCTGGTCTCATTTGTTATTAGGGTGTGAGCAGATAATTCCTGGAAGTTGTCCTATGTCCACGCTTTGTGTACCGCTCGATCCGTCGTGCCTCACCGATATTGAGCGGATTGATTGCCAGGAGCAACGTTCCCTTAGGTGCAGAAGAATATTTTTTATGAAATTTTGCCGTAAAGAAGGCGGACTCCTCTCGCACCCGCAGATCCGGCTGGGCAAACTCAAGGCCGAGGCCAAGAAGACCGAGATGCACATCGGGGAGGCCGACTCGGTTGCGGTCAGACAGATAGAGGCCGATGTCGCTCTCCAGGTACATACCCCGTTGGGAATTATTGATAGGAGGGTGACAAAGAACCTGCACGCCCCATATGGTACACAAAGTTCTTTCGCTCATGGGGTGCAAACGGTCCATAGGCATTGGTGTGGTAGACGCCATATGGAAACTCGAAATATGTACACCGACGGTAGCGTGCAATCCGCACTACAGAAAGCGCGCGCACTTTGAACTTCTTCTATTGTCCGAGGCCGGGGTTCTTAGTTCCGAGGGTCATATTGCGAGTGGCGCCCATAGAGGTTGTAGTTAAGGGGTTCATAACCGAGCTTACCTATTTTTGCTCAACTTCTTAGATTGTTCGTGAGGCTCACTTTCTTAACTGTCAAATTGTATTTGCGAGCGCTCTACTAGATGTATTTTTTTTTTTCCACAGGCGTCTCGCCTGAAGAACTCCCAGGACGCTGCGGTCACGGAAATGCGGGCCAAGTCCCAAAGGACGGCCGCGAAGCTTCGCGCCGAGACGGGAGCATTCGTTACGGAGAAGGTAGGGAAAATGTTGTTGGTGGTGTTGCCGTCGTTGTTGGTACGCCGTGGACATGTTGACCTCTCTGTCCATCAGTATCACATCGATGCCCCCAAGAATCTGTCTGGTCAGCAACGTCATATAACGATTTCATTGCTGTGGCCAATTTCCGCAATTTCAGAAGAATCCGTTCACACCGACAAAGTACAATACATTAGACGCAAGTACCAAGTACGACAGCTTGGAACAGGTACGCGTGCACAGAAACACACGTTCCGCAGACCGAAGCCGGTGTTTTTGTGCCTTCCACCCGATCTGTATTTGGGATGTGCTCGAGCGTTCTCTGAACACGGAAGTATGAAGAATGCAAGGGACGACCAGAATATATTGACGGGCACAAGAGAAACCACAACCCAAAAGCGGTTGTGCTTTTTCGGAACGGAACATGACATCACCGATACTGTGCCCGTTCGAGCCAAGGATATATATGTGTTGAAGGCTTCTGAGTGAGTTTGAGCGTTTTTTTCTCAGTATGTTGTTTGTGTTTTTTGATGGGGCAACGCAAGGCGGGTCGTGATCGGGAAGTACAGCAGAGCGTACACCGAAGAGCGAGAGAAGAATACAAGAGAGTTACAGCAAGGCAAGCAGTAGCGGGCTCGAACACTAAACCGGATTCTTACTGACAAGTCGTGGTTTGTCAAGAGCTGCTAACGTTGTTCGTGACAAATCATTTTTTTTCCTTTTTTTTTCAACCCCCCGCCCACTCCCTTACGCGACAAGGCTTCGGAAGCCTCTTTGGAGGTGACGAAAAACAATGCCGACGCCACGGCGATCCTCGCGGAGGCTGAGGGCATCTGCGCTCCTATGGTGAGAGAAACATGCCCATCACCCCTTCCGCGGCATCTTTCCGTACCCGAATCATGAATCATGTGCGTATGGAGCGAAAACTGTCACAAAGTCTGTATACCAGCCTCTGCTCTCTGAGAAGACGCGAGTGAGTGGAGCTCAACCGGAGTGAAGTATGCATCATAGATAGGTTGGTGTGCCCCCAAGATCAAGCTTGCCAAACATGAAGCAATAGCCGCACTTGGGGCTCGGGACGTGGTGAATATAAGAAAAAAGCAGTCTGACGTTCTGGGAACAACGTTTTGAGATAAGATTGACACAGCTGCACAATTAGTATGTTAAAGGGCTATCCGCAGTTGCCAAAAGCAGCCTCATCAAACTGTGGGCATGGGAACGACAAGAAAGAAGCTAACTACATAGTCCTCCTCTCGTGCGTGAAGGCAGGATAATGTACATGAGCAGGAACAGCAAGAGAACGGAACGAGAATCCCCGCTCCTCCCAAAGACAGAGCTACACAACTTCATGCAATACGATTACCTACTCCAGCACGTCAATTCAATAGCAATCCTTCGAGAAAGCATAGTTTTCTCACACACACACACACCCTTGTCCTCCCAGCTTGAGGCTATGAAGACCTACACGACGGACAATAAGCGTGTCGAGGTGATGAAGAGCCTGTCAGACAACCCCGACCTCGTCATCTCTTCCAGCTCGAACGAAGACGTCAACGCGATGATGATGTGTGACGCTGTGCTGACCAACACCGAGCCTGGAAAGCCCCTCAATCGCTCTCAGGTAACAAACTAAGGAATTTAGACGTTGGTGTCTGCAACTTTCTTGGATAGAAGGAATCTTGTCAAGCGCACTGCGGTTTCTCTGGGTAATTTTCGGCCAGAGCAAGGCAGGAATGCACAAGCAAGTGAAACTGGGCCCCTAGCCTTAGGTCGAGCAGTGCACCTTGATATGTGCGGCCGACGTTGACATCAGTCGATACCTTGCTTGAAGGTCGTCCGCTGCATGCATGCGTACAACCCCTTCAACTTCTTGCACCACCGCAAGTGTCTTTTTCGCTCAGAAAATGTCTTGAGAGAGAAACAGCGTAGCCTTGTTGAAAATCAATCTTCGTCACCCCTGGTGCATTCAAACTCATCTCTTGGGGCCTTCCTACAAGTAATATCCATGCATCATGAATGAGAACACCACCTCCCTTTCTCCTGGCCGTCTCCCATTCCGTCGCCCCCACCATGGCATGCGCGCGCGTCGTTGGAACGAATGGCCGGGGTCATACAGGTCCTCGCCGAGCTAGTGATGTTGCAGAAGGGTTCGAGGGTCTACATGGGCCACGACATGGCTACCGCTGCGTGACCAAATATCCTTCCGTCAAGTCAACACGTTCAAAACAACACCGACACATAGAATTACTGGTGTTTTTCATATATGTGACGACCGGAGTGCCACTCAGGAAAAAAAGGGGACCACCGAGTTAGCCGTGCCGATACGAACTCTGAATGGTCTGCCGATGGCAATCTTGGGGTGCCGTAAGGAATACCTTTGTAGTGTTACACCAAAAACTAGCGTACACAAACCACGCCGTAACCCCATGAAGACGGCTAGGGACTGTGGAGAAGAAACCGGCAACCCGCGCAGTACAACGAGAGAGAGCACACAGATCGCAACCCGTCTTTGTTAACACCACCCAGCATAGGGGACGTTGGTCGGAAACTCGTTTGGGAAACCGTACACGGTCCTCATTTCGCCACGAGAGGCTACGATTCGTCGAAACCTACGTTGACATCATCTACCCCGCTAAATGTTACAAAGTACAACTGAACAATGGCGGCACGTGGAACGCAGTGCCCTTCCTTGTTGTCTTTCTTTTGACACGGACTATATCCGCGTTTTGACACAACAACCATATATAGGCCGACCTCAATGGGCAGTTGATTCAAACCCAAAACGACAGCGTTTCCCCCACGAAAGTCGAGGGGTACACGCATACCACGGTCTAGTTCTATCTTCGGGGACGCAATATACTAAAACGCAGCTCCCAATTCGCTACGACTACAAGCCCTGCTATGGTACGGGAAAACCATACCAAGTGCGTGCCGTCACGTACCGCGCTGGGTGTGATTACTTCACCCCGGGTACCAAGAAAAAAAAAACGTACCTGTTTTGTACCCTCATGCACCACACTGGTATGTTGCACACCAACTGAAGCACGCGCCTAACTTCTATCATGTACAACACGTCAGTTTGTCGTGCACCAAATAAAGCACGCTTCTCATCTGTACCTTGTACACCCTACCCACTGAATTTAGGAAGACCCTGCCGCGTTTCGATGTTTTCTTGCCAGTATTGGACCGAAGTCCCCAAAGCTGCGAATGATGCCACGATACGCGGCCCTGTGAATCTCTGCGGAAAAATATACCGGAAAGCATAAAAGTACTATTCACACACCACCCTATCGGGCCGACATATATCCATGGGCTAGTACGCCTCACGATGAGGATGGACTAAGGGGGCTTCCGTGATAAACCAACAAGAGAGGACTGTCGCGATATTCTACACACCAAGACCAGCTACCATCGCATCAGCATCATCATCAGCAGCAGCAGCAAAACGAATAAAATACGAATGTTGCAATCACGTCGAAAGCTGCCCTGACAAAACAGAAACTCCTCGCTTCCTTCAACTGCGGGGGGACCAGTTCCTGTGAGCTTAAGTCCAGATGACGCAAATATGGTACAAAGAAGAACTAGATATAATGACCGAGAGTACCGAGAGTGACTTCCGAGATTCGGAAGTTCATGACATCTAATGACGCGAAAATCTGATCGCATGACGTTCGACTTGATAACGTTTGACAACACGCTCTTGAGACAACACTTGCTCTATACAACACATGCCGAGCAAAACACTATCTCGCTCTACATGTTGCTTCGGCCTCACTGACACCAACAATTTAACTCTCGGTGTCACGGAAATACAGCAGAGCAGCTCAACACCTGCAGCAGGTGGAGGAACCAACTCCTCCAGCTCCAATGTATGTCAGCCTTGGTATTTGCTGCAATTTCATACAGTCCTGATCGCCAGAATGGTGTGGGATCGCCAGGCTGTCTGACCTGCCGCAGGACACAGTACCTACAATAGGACAGACAACAGCACATTTGTGTCTACGGATGCAACAGGAGTTGTAAAAAAGATGCAACAGGAGCTACAAACCCTATTTAGGACGAGGAGACCAACATATCATAGTCCACTTGTCTCGCCGCCCCTCTTTTCGAATGCTCGCGATGCGGAGGTACGTCTCTCTTAGCACCATGCCCCCGTAACGGCAGACCAGACACACACACGCCACCCAAATTGTTACTCACAGTCGTGGAGCCTTGGGGATCACAACCCCAGTCTGTTAAGACCTCCCTCACCACGTTCCTTCAATTTACGGCCAAGTGGAGAATACCACGTCCTTCAGGGCCTCCTCGGCGCTGGGCCTCACGCCCACATCCTCCGCCAGCAGGCGCTTCACTAGACCCACCACGCCCGTCAGTTCCGGCCCCGACCCCGCTGAAAGTCCCGCCGAAGCTGACAGTCCCGCCGAAGGCCCAGAGGTGGCACAACCACTACTGTCACCGCCTCGGCCCTCGTTGCCAATGGTAAATGCGGCCGCGGCGCCTACCCGTCCGCCCGTCAAGATCTCGTGCAGGACGCAACCGACGGCCCAGACGTCGACGGGCGGGCCCCAGGCAAGCCCGCCGCTGGCCTCGGGCGAGAGGTACGACGGGGTCCCCGCCGTGACTCCGGGCACCGTGTCCGAGGCGAACACCGCGTTGCCCAGATCGATAAGGCGGAGGTCGAACGGAGCTTGTGCTGCCGCTGTTGGCGGCGGCGGCGTTGTCGCGTTCGGGGGCGGTGAGCTACTACAAGGGGGCGGGGGGTAGAGGGCGACGTTGTCTGGCTTGATGTCGGCGTGGACCAATCCGACCGAGTGCAGGAACGCGATGCCCTGGCGTGGAACGGGGCGGACAGGAGAAGGCATGTGGGGTGGAAGGGGGTGGGGATGATTCGGAAGTGTGAAGGACCGCGAGATAGTGAACGATGCCGTGGTGGAAAGGGGGGGACAGGAAATGGTCAACCGCACGGGAGAAGGAGTAAGGGGACGAGGATGGCCCGTAAGTATGGGGGACGGTGAGATAGCGGAAGCTGCCGGGACTACACACGGGGATATTGTAAAGCCGAGCTTGCATGACACGCCTTCGGTGCAGTCATACATAGCAGACACGAGTTAATCGTCGAGCAACGCCACCAGCAGTACGGCCACAACCTTTGGAACGCCCCGATCACCTGCATTGCACAGCCAATCGCGGCACAGCAGCAGTATATAGGGAGAAGTTGGCGAGCAACCCAGCAACAGAAAACGAAATAAGCCGGGAGGGCACGCACCTCGAGAAGACCACGAGCAACCTCAACCACCTCATGGGCCTTCCACGCCAACAAAACAGGAGCGGACGAAGGCATGTTGCTGGCGGTGACGCCGCTTTGTGCCGTACTTATCGGCGGCGATCGTGCCGACATAGCCTCCCGCAGCGAGAGCCCTCCCCCGCGAAACACGAGGCACACGTGGTCGACCCCGCCAACGGCCGAGCGGCGGTAGAACCAGGAGGCGAGCTCGGCGAACCGCGATCGCTCGCGCGTCAAGCCCGCCTCTTGCCGCTTCACCTTGAGGAACGCCAGGGTTTCTACTTCGTGCAGGCATGCTCCCATGCCGGATTCTCCCCCGGACAAGACCTGGATCGGGCGCCGTTATGCGGAAGGCATCAAATGAGTCTACACGCTTGGAATAAAAATGACCATCTCTTCAGACAGCAGTCTTCATACTACTCGGTCGTGTTGACCTATGTACACACACAGTAGTGAAGAGTGTCTACACATGCTGGTGCAAAAATTACGAAACGCTCGGCTTGGTTACTACTGTACTGCTTATATTAGAACATGCATAACGATGGGAGTAACGATGGGAGTTCTCACAACATTGAGCAACACGTAAGATATTCCTACGCAGACGGGCCGGTTGCGTCGAGGCGAAAACGCATAGAAGCTCCTGGTGGCCAGTACAGGCACTGCTTGCAGTACGGTGCATGTGCAGACAGGAGTTTGAAACCATCAGAGACGAGAGATATCCATCCACACCACTGCTGTTGTCGCCACACCTTGACCGTGACAACTCGCAGAGGGCGATAGGCTTCGTCCCCCATCGCCTCCTCCTGCTCCTCGCGGCACTCGAACACCACGCTGTTGAAACCCTTGCTCCGCCTCTTGACGACTCGAAAGGGAACCGACTTGCCAGCTAGCGGGACGCTCATCACCTCGCCAACATTCATGGAGACCTGCTGCTGCGGCTGCTGCTGTCTTCGTCGATGCGGAGTTTTTACGTGCTTGGCAACCTCCTCGCCACCACTCACTTGAGCCGGACCCGAAGCACCAGCCGTTGGAGCAGCTCCCGCAGACCGTGCCACGTGTGTCGGCGGCAGTGGTGGTGGCGGTGGATGGTCCTCGGCCATCACTGAGCTCTTGCGCTTAACCGTGGGCGAGCTGAAGTTTTCCTCATCATCGTCGTCCACCTGCATCATCTTTTGTTGTCGCGCCGGCTGTTGGGTTGGGTGGGTGGCGTTGTACGCCGACAGCGTCGATTGCGCGGTGTTGGTTGGGTCGGTCGTGAAGCGGAAGACCGCATTCGTCGGCGTCCGCTGCTGGCCTTCTTCGATCATCCTGGGACAGCGTGTGCGGGTGTTGGTGAAGGTCGTCGTGTGTGGTGGTTCGATGGTTCGATGGCTGTGACGGACGGCCGCGCTCCGCAGATTGCAAAATTCGTACACTACAGGTGACGCCACGTACCCCCCCCCTCTACCAGCCGCCTCAACCGCCCTGGCATGTCTGCGGGCACGTGCTATCGCAGTATCGCACAACGCCTTCGGCCTTTGGTTCACCATGAGAGTGCTTGTCGCTTCGGTTGTCGGGACAGCGTTTTTGCTGGGAGCAGAAGGTCAGTCGGGTCGATTTACGTCACACAATGGACTGGACGGATCATGTTGAACAACGGGAAGTGACACAGGTCATCATGTGTATACCTACGGCGGTATACAGCAGCACTGCGGCTGCATGTATTCTAGCTAGCCCTCACAGTTTTTAAGTCTACCGCGGGATTGCCGCCAGCTGAGGGGGGGGGGTTGACAGCAGTGCATGCAACCGCTATGCATACAACTCAATGGAGCTATGTACTGTTGTGCTTCTGCAGTTGCATCTCTCGGCTTGACCATGATGAACAAACCCGACCTGATGAACCAACCGCCGAGTAGATGTGAACGGTGGCAAAAAAGAAGGGGTTCGTTCTGCGATACCACATTGATGTCATAAGATACCTTGGTGTATATGTCCTGGTCTTTGCTCAGCAGTTGCGTGCACTGAGTTAAACGTGAGACGAGCGGTCTTCAAATAGAGCGTCGGCAATTACTTTTTGAACACCATGAAAAGGTTGTTGACGGGAGCAGTTGTCTGTTGTTGGTGTACGCGGGGCTCTCCTCCATGCCCGCTTCTGGTAAGGTATTTGAAAGCTGCTCCACCCATTGGTGAAACCCCAAGCCGCTCTAGCTCCCAGCGTGAACGACCGTTGGGCGGGGGAGTCTTCTGGGCACGTGTGCGCGAACGGCTTCGCCACCATCGTGCGACACGGAACAGATGGAGAATCCTTGCTTACATACCTCACCTCGCTCGCACCCGGCTTGTCCTCTGCCAGACTGCCGCGTCATCACAGAGGCGTTCGCACACCCACCTGTTCCGCGAGTGGGAGCTTCGGGACGAGGTACTGCTGGAAATAACCGCGGCCTGGCGGTTATCCGGAGACGCGCACCGGCGGGTTTCTTCCGCTCCGGTATGGCGGTCTCACCGTACCGCTCCGAGGGGGGAGCTGGGGAGGAGGGGCAACGGAGGCGGCCGATGCATCGAGGTGGAAAAAGATTCTGGGCACGTTTTGCCATGCCCCGTCGTCGTCGCGGGGTAGATTATTCTCTGGTTGGTCTCTGGTCTGTTTCGCCATTACGACATTGGCTGTTACTTTTGCCAAGATTTCTGTGGTCTTGTCAAGCGCAACTACAGCAGCGGCGGGACAAAAGCAGGGCAGTTAGCTTTTCACTGTATCGAGGCCGGCGGCACAAGCGTCTCAAACGTCTCTGCCGGGATTGCCGATTACCTTCGTCAACAAACCGCCTAAACCCACGAGCAACACATCCATGACTGGCACCACCACCACCTCCTCAAATTCATCATTGGAAGCCCCTTACTCACAACAATATCATTCCCGGTATCGGGCAAACCAGCTACTGGTGTCAGTCAATCCTAGTGGTACGGTCGGCACTACACCAGCGAAATGGAAACCACTCACGTGCTGATCGTCTACAGCTTGGTATTTATTGGTGCACCACCGGCAACAACCTACCATTACCGCGATGGTGGCGCCCATGAAGCGCAACCAGGACGTTGACAAACCATCTCCTGAATACATGTTGAGGAGGAGACTTTTGCCGGGTCACAGCGGTTCGAGCAACCCCGGACGAAAAATTCGACCCTCGCTGCCAGCACGCGTGTGCGAAGGCGGCGACAGTCTTCGTAATTTGTGGATGTTGAGGTGTCCGGCTGTACTGTGTGTGTGTGTGTGTGTTTTGTGTGGTTTCGTTTGGCAGGCGCGCGGACGGAGATGATGCTACAACCCTCGGAAGTTTACCAGGAATATGCCAGGGAATAGCGTGTGCACTAGCATTTGTTTGCTTACATGTACAACCAGATGATTAGCGTGGTACAGCAGCGGGCGAATGTTCAACACAGAAGTTGGTGGGAATTGTTGGTTCGGGAAGCCGGAGGTTTTCAAGTCAACGACAAAACTCACGTATATGTCGTGCGCTTTCCGTTTGCTTCCACGCGCGCCCTCCGCAAATAATCTCTGTCCAGCCAGCAGCGGCGGCGATCTCGACCTTAAAGGGGCCACCCCACCGCACCGATCGTCTCGAGCAGCAGCAGCAGCAGCAGCAGCAGCGTTGGCGCCGTTACGGCAAACAGCGGCAACGGCTCTGGCCGCGGTCCTGATGCTCGCTTCGACCGAACAGGATATCATGACCGCCATGATGGGGCTCGATCCCTCCCTGGCGACGTCCACCGCAGCGCAACCCGCCATGACCTTGCCCAAAGAGGAGGGTCCACAGGCAAAGGGTGGAAAGGCGCCGTCGATGGGTTCGATAGATGTACAGGGTCAAGGGGACGCTCTCGGGGAGATCGCCGGGGGCCCCGGCGGCGGCTTCAAGAACGGGCGGCTTATGGTGGACCAGGATTCGGACCTGGCCATGATGCTGGGCAAGAAGATGAAGACACCGGACGCCGACCCGTTGACGCACTGATGATTTTTTGTCTTGGTTTCTGTGTGGAGAGCCTGGATGATGTGTCTTGATTTTTGGTGTGGAAAAGCCTGTGACCAAGTCCGGGCGATTTTGACGGAGTACGCGGCTGGGTTTGTTGTTCCCGTTGGGCATCGTGCCTTTGATTTTGCGTCTGCATCACGACCTGATCTTTCGCTTATCCTACCATCTCCATACACTTGTCCAGCGTTCTTGGGAAGGGAGACCTCGGCCAGGAATCGGTGGAACAAGGGGTACACCAACGTGGGTGCTTTCAGTCTTCGGCCTACAGGGTGACCAGTCGCCCCCCCCCCCTCCTTGTCCACACGTGTCAGTGTGTTGAAGCCGGGCCGACTACAAGGAAAATGTTTTTTGTGGTACGAGGAGAAGACGTTTTGCGCAAGAGCCGACCATATTTTGACTTGGCTGTTCCCGTGTGAATAGGGTCAGTAGCATGCTCATGATTCTCTCCGTCTCTGCGTTTGATTTTTGTCAGATTCGAAAAGTTGTATTCTTTCCTCCTCCTAGTCGGCTTGAAAAGCGTTTCATTTATTCCTGGCGTGCCCACGAGCTTGGCGCGCCCTGGTCACGTATCCTGTGGTGTTCACCGTGGGAATCACACCTAGGGCGCGCTGCTGAACCGTATGAGGACGTGAGGGTAACGGTTGGAACGGAAAAGGGGACGGTCACCACAAATGACGCCGCCCTCGTGCCAGCATTTGTTCGTATGATGTTCAACTTGTGTTCCCAGACCTATCATCTGCGGTTGAGTGCACAACACAAAGCTTGCGGATCTCGCGCCAATGATCCCTTCCGCGATGCCAGCAGCGAATGCAGAACGCCTCCAAACCGTCTATGCGTACTCCCAACCAACGTTTCCCTCGTGCGGCACTTTTCGGGGGTGCGAACCTTGCGAGAAACTTGCCGCCACCACCGGGTGATACATCTTATCTGTGGACTGGGCGATGCGCCTTGGAATTGGCGCACCAGCATACACGTGCGTGCTTATAAAACACCACACGGGCGTCATCACGGAAACAGCCTTCCATGCACGTTTGCATGATGGTTGTTCCATGATTTCGAAGTCGTGCAGCGTTAGTTGACGTGCAGGCATGATTTAGTACGCGTAAACCGCCTCCAATGCGAACGCAGATCAGCCTCAGGTAGATCTCAGGAAAACGCCCCGTACGTAAGTAGTCCGATACCTCGACGCAAGCAGACTAAAGTAGATACGGATCATCGTTGAATCTGGGATGGCTAACGAAGGGTTACCCTCTCCCCTCTCCATTCAATACTTGCTCTGCCGCTCGGCCAACGAGTACAGCCCCTCTCGCCACCCGGCAGTGATCGGCGCTGATTGACTTGTGACGAAGCGAACAGGATGTTGGCTTGGTCGCTTGGAATAAAACGTTCTCTCGTGTGGCCCGGGCGATGTCAAAAATGGTGCGGAGTTTGACAAAACCAACACAGCCTTGCTTATATTTTCACTCTTGTTGTGAAACCCTTTGACGCTGAGGGGGGGGGCGAAATTCACAACTGGGGGAAATACGCATACAATAGTAAATGGGCACGTGTGCGTGTTACTCAGCGACGAAAACACAGGCGTCCCGTCATGGAAGCGAACATCTGTGGGAGTATGCCACCTTAACGTACCTTGTTTTTCGTAGAACGTCATTTATTCGCAATCGTCGAAACCTATAAAACGAAGCCCAGTACAACCAGTACATGGCAACATCGGGATGTGCTGTTGAAGGGCCAAGCATGTTATGCGAGTGTGCGAAGAAGACCTTGTTTTTCGGGGGGGTGCACTTCAGTGAACGGAGCAGGATCCCACGCCCCATCCCAGCCGCGACATATCGCTTGCGGAAATGTACACACCTGGAGCGGCGCGGGCGCATTGTCTCTCATTTGCACTCGGCCTCACTTGCGGCCTCGCTCGTGAGCAATTGTTTGTTTCGGTGGAAGCAAGCACCACGGTTGCGGGCAGGGCACAGGGTAGCGTAGTGCACCAGTGAATCTCGTCCCCGGCACTCGTTTTCATACACGAACGATTGACACCCCTTTCAATCAAACATGGAGTCTATCGTCGTTTTAAGATAATAATTTGTATTTTTCTTTCCATCCACCCCCGCGCTCCAAGCGCGAAAAACACGGAACACTAAACCAAATCGTAATGTGACATGTTGTGACTTGTGACGTACACGTTCAACGCCAGTCTCCCTATTCCACCCGCAAGCCTGCAGCAGCCACGCTTTCCACCCGCAAGAAACACCTACAATAATCAGTACAGAGCTAAGAGTCGGCAAAGGAAGCCAAGCCAATACTACAGCAATAACAAAAACGCCAGAAAATCTACCAGTAACAAAAACGAACTCAACGTCGAATGAATGAGGCAATTCACAAAAATAACGTTCACATAAAACATCGTCGGGAGGGGGGGGAATGACGGCGAGAGCGCCGCGGAGACACCACTACCAAGAACTCAAAACATGAAGAGCGGGCAATACGCTGTCGTTGTTGTTTCCTGGGAGTTGGATCCTGAACAGCGGAGAAATCGCCCCTAAAGCCAAACATCGCAAACGAGGTGGTAAAAAAACAAACTGCGCAAATACTGGAAAACCAAGCCTCGTGAACACCATGCCCTCCGACAACAGCGGGGTGACTGGGTACCAATCGAAAAGCAAGGAAAAACAGACAAGACAATCATGGCAAGAATTCTACGACCTGGCACGTAATGCTACTCTCAGAGCACAAGAGTGGAATCGCTCGCTTCGTATCTTGTTGTGGCGTAGCGGGAAAGCACTCTCACCAACAGGAGGTATCCTTCGCCAGCTGCGCTTCCCTTCCCTTACCTTCTCTTCTCTTCTCTTCTCTGTAACAAAAAAACTCTCCAAGAACGCATTTGTTGTCCGGCTGTATATGTCTGGCGTATTTTTATCGGCCGGCCGATAAACGCGGTGGATGCCGAACGCAAAGAGAGACACCCGTACGCACGCCAACAACGACCCTCCACGCCAACACATGACGCCGAGAAATGTTCCCAAGCCAACAACCGTGCACCCACTGTACGCGCGCACATACACGCGGCGCACAAACATGCACACAACCCCGCGCTTCCAAGTTGCGGGGATGTTCCATGCCCGATCGCTTCTCCGACGAGGTTCACAGCCGACGGCGGCAGAGGATATCCCAAGGCCGCCGCGCCTACCGACGTGTGCGTTACAAAAACCCCCGACTATCATCACCACCACCACTACGACCGCTAATACAACTGACATCAAATCACACGCACGATCTCGCACGCTACATAGGCGCGCGCAACAGACCCGCCTCCCCTCCGTCACAAAATGGAAACCTACGCCCATGTGGTCTACCCACAACGACAACGAAAAAACAGACGGGGGGTGCGGGGATGGCGCTGGGTTCTCTTGGTACAACCGTCACCGCCGGTGCTCTTGTGCTCATGCTGGCCCCCACGGCTTGAACTCGTTCCAACCTCCATCGTCACAACACTCTCTACAAGACGTACCGCGTTCGGTCAGACGGAACTAACTTCCGAGCGAACCTCTGACACAACCCAGACACCACCTGCACGATCTCTAGCAAAGTCAGCGCTCAAACCTTGCTCAGGAACAACAAAGACAACAACAGGTCCCTCCCGCCCGGGAAAAGTCAATCCTATCCATCCCCACGCACAACGTCAAAACCCCTCGCTCTCGGAGGTTTCGCCAACATCGCCTTCCACGCTCTCTTCGCTGTCGCTGAGTGGCGCAACGACTGTCCTCGTCGTCTTCCTACCGCCGCCGCCGCGCTTCTTCGGCCCCTGTCCCGGCCCTGCCCCGCTGCTCCTCTTGCTGCGGCCCCCGTCGCCGCGCCCCCGTTCGCTCTTCTCCTCGCCCTTGCCCCTGCCGTTGTCGGCGGTGGCGGGCCCCCCTCCAGACTCCACCTCCACCACCTCCATACCTTCGTCTCCACCGCCGGCGGCAAGTCCCTCGCATGCCGACGCCGCCGCGGCCGGGCTCACCAAATCGATCGCCCGAGCACCGGTAGGCTTCCTTCGTGTGCGAAGGGACGGAGACGAATCCCCGTCAAGCCGTATCTTTGGGGCATTGACCCCCTGTTTATCGGGGGACTGAGCGTCGCGCGGCACGCGCCCCCCGTCCCCTCCGACACCGCCTTTTCGCTTCACTCCCGTTGCTGCTGCTGCTGCTGCGGCGGCGACGGCGGCTTTGCGCGGTTCTCTCAACTTGTTGCGCTCGCTCAACGTCAGGCCGAACTGCTCGTCCACTACCACCCCGCTGCCGCCGCCGCGATCCCCATCATCGTCGTCACTCTCGGCGTCGCTGCTCTCAACGGACAGGGCCTCGCCGGAGGCATTCGCACCCGTCCCCTCGTCCCCAGACACACCAGCGGCAGGCACGGCGCTACTCGTCGCGAGACTGTCAGTGGCGCCGCCGCCGCCGCCGACGCGCAGCCGGTTCTTGACGGCTCCCTCCGTCTTGTTCGGAGAAGCCGGTAGCGTCACTGCCGTATCGACTGCGCCCCCTCTGGGTCTCAAGGCCCTACCCCCCCCTGTTCGCCCTGGGGATGCGGCGGAATTGTCCTCGACGGGCCTGCAGTCGTCGGTGGCCGATAGGCAAGCTGCCGCCTCAGGGGCTAACCCTGGGCCCTTCTGGGTCGGCTGTGCCCGCGGAGGCTCGCCGTTCCTCCCCCGCTGCTGCAAGGGGGTCGGCTTTCCCGCGCTGCGCTCTTCTCGCTCGCGGTTGCTGCCGTCGCCTTCGGCCACGGCCGGCTCTACGCACCGTGATCCTGCGGGACCCCACGATGAAGCCTCGTCGCCCTGCCCCGCCCGTTCTCGGCATGCTTCTTCCGTCGAGGATTCTTCCTCGTGAGCGCCGGGCGCCGTACCTACCGCCGCCGACGTCGCCGCCGCCCCCCCCCTCCCCCGTTTTCTTCGCACAGGTTTAAGGACTTCCTTCGCTTGCCTCGCCTCGGTGTCGGCGGAATCCTCGCCGCCCTTGTTGCCTTCCCTGGCTGTCCCCGCCAACCCCACCGTTCGCGATTCACTCGAAATATCCCCAGCATCCTCCTTCTCCCCATCTTCCTGGCGCCCCCGCCGGGGCGCCAGCGGCGAAACACTCTCGCCCCAAACGCCTCCGGTGGAGTAAAACTCGCCGACTCGCTCGCTCGTGGCGAAGCCCACGGCAGCAGGGCCGCCCGGCTTGGCACCTTCAGGTCGCTGTTCCCCGCTTCCAGCGCCACCGCCGGTGGCGGCTTCGCTTCCCTCGGCCGCTGCGACCCCGTTTTCCACGTCGTCCGGCGCCAGCCTCACCGCCGTGCCAGCCACTTGCCGCAGGCCGTTCATCGCGGCGCCGATCTCCGCTCTGCTCCCCCCCGTTTCGTCGTCACCCTCCTCTTCCTCCTCCCCCTCCTCCTCCTCCTCCTCCTCCTCGCCGTCCTCGTCCTCGTCGTCTTCATCGTCCTCCTCCGCCTCCTCGATGCCCTTCCCCGCGCCTTCCGCCTCTCCGCCTTCGGCCTCTCCGCCGTCGTCGCCGGCGCCGCCGGCCGCATCGTCGATGTCCGTGTCCGTTTCCGTATTCTCGTCAGAACCTTCCGACGACGACGATGACGACGATTCGGAAGACGACGATGAGTCAGAAGACGACGACGAGTCGCTGCTGCTATCGCTCGCCCCGCCCAGGCTCTCCGTGTCACTGGCGGGTGCGGCGGGTGCGGCGGGTGCGGCGGCGGTAGCGGTGGCGATGGCGGTGACGGACTTCTTCACACCGTTCGCACCGACATTCGCGGGGGCGCCGTCGCCAAGCTTGCCGTCGCCGTTGGGGGGGGGCACGGATGCGGCCGCCGCAGCACCGGTGAGGGGGTCGTCGGAGGACGGCATCGGTGGCGGTGCCTCCTTCACCTTCACCTTCGCCTCTGGAGTGCTGCTGCTCGTACTAGCACCTGCGTCGACGTGGGTCTTGTTGCCCTTGCCCTTCTTCCCCTTCTTGGACTTCTGCAGCTCCTTCTCCCGCTCGTAGCGGACTCTGCATCATTGGTTCGGGTTGGGCCCAGACCGTGGGCGAAACGAAGCACCATCGGGAGGGGGGGGGGGGGCATGAAGCAAGTAATCATTAAAATTATGGAAAACGCTGCAAGACGGAAATGACCTGCCGGCATCCTTGGAAAACAAAAAACGGCCACGAAACAATCGGGGGGGGGGGACTTACTTGCAGTTTTCCAGCAGCTCCCTCAGCATACGGCGCTCCTCAGTGATGTCCGAGGGGCTGAACAGCTCGGGCCTGAAGTGCGCGCTGAGTCGGTTCTTGACTTCCGCCGCCGTTACCACCGGCCACTGCTGGCAGATCTCCTGAACAGGGCCAACAACATGTGCGGGAAGGCATCAACGTCAAGACACCGTGCATAGCACCAGTGTGTCAAAGAAAGCATGTCAAGACGAAGGCCTTCTGAAGGGCACCCATGCTAACCCTAACCCTAACCCTAACGCTAACCCTAACCGGACACCGCCGGTCGCCCCGGTGTGGTCTAGTTGGTAGCCTCGTAACCTTCTAGAGGTCAGGTCAGGGGTTCGAATCCCGGCGTAGGCGAGCTTTTCTTGCAAAGTGAGTTTTTCTCTCGCTTCCGCTCCTGGCCAAGTGGATAGCGCTAGTTCGTGTGTACACAGAGGGAAGAGAGTGCAGAACTCTTCTCGCATTAAAAATTGAAGGCGAAGTACCGCAGGAGGGGAGGGTAGAGAGAGGCTCTTCTGTGTGACCACGGGTTGGAATAAACGGCACTAGTGCTGTTAGCGCTGATTTGAAGTGAAGAACAACAAAAAAAAAAAAAAAATGCAGACCGCATTTGCGAGAGAAGAAACTGAGTTTATGAGGAAATAGCCACAGGGACGGGGGTACGCAGACCCTATATCCCTAACCCAACTTCCCCGATTGTATGTTTCACCCTAACATGTATACATAATCGAAAAACCCTGCCAAGTCTACTGAAACATGCGGCATAGACCGCGAAGGGTGTATTTCTGGAGCTTGCCTTGGCGTAGCGAAGCACGTACACCCCGCAGTCGCAGCCGTTGATCTGCGTCGGCACTCGCGGGCGAACGAGGGGGAACACGTCCTGATCGAACAACATCTCGCCTCGCCCGGTCTCCTTCCACTTCGCTTGCAGGTACCTGATGGTACGCGTGTCCGATTGTTGTAGCGAGAACATGTCAGAGAGGGTTTCTCGATCGGTGGTTGATGCGCAGCGAGAGTGCACGAAAACGTGCAGTCAGAGTCGCAAGAAGAAAAACAGCAGCAACAACGACAGGTACGTTCCTTTGAAAACATATCCATCCCATACTAAAGTGTCCTTTTTCTATATCTTCTCTTCGCCGTACTCGCTCTCTCTCTCTCTCTCTCTCTCTCTCTCTCTCTCTCTCTCTCTCTCTCTCTCTCTCTCTCTCTCTCTCTCTCTCTCTCTTCTTTCTATGTCTCTCTCTCTGTCTCATTTCCTCCCTCTGTCTCACGGTCTCCCTCTGTCTCTCTCTGTCTCTCAGAGCTCTCTCTCTCCATCCCTACCTATTCTCCCAACTCACCGACGGAGATAGTCGTAAATCCTAGAGGCGTAGTGCATGTCGAGAGAGTCGAGGAAGAGCATGCACGGCTGGGCCTCGTCGCTCTGGTAGTCGGCTGCTTCCTTGTCCACCTAAAGAAACAAACACGGAGGCGGTGGTATTACCATTTCACAACCCCCAACACCAAAACATGAGCAGGGGCGTTCTAGCTGACTCTCTCTATCTCTTCTATTGTCAACGGCGATTTTTTTTCTTCATGGAACCAAACAGGTGCTTACCTCATCCCAACATCAAACGGGGGGAACCAGTTGGGTATTTGCGCGCCCTCTGGGGTGGAAGAAAAACACAACAAAAACTGGACGTATCAACGACGCGCTTCGGTCCACTTTAGCCCCTTGGGCCTCGGCATTGACAAAAACTAGACGTGTGACCGGCATGCCTCAACACAAATACACCCCCTTTTGGCCACTAGAACGACGTTTCGACAACAACTGCTTGCATACAGCAACAGCAGGAGAAGTACATGGTGATTCGCCGAACCCATCCACTAAATTAATGCCCGACAAACACGCCACCACAAGCGGAAACCCAAATGCCCGTCTGCACGGCAGCACGTGCGCACCATCTCAAATCGCTGCCGTCTGCCCTTGTCTGTCTGTGGGTCTCCCAGGCTGGGCGTGCTTGTGTCTGCTGGGCTGTTTCCGTCTACCATGAGTCTGCCCTTGTCGATCTGTGGGGTCTACCGCTATGTGCATCTACCATGAGGCAACGTAGATACCGTACATACCTCGAGCTTGTCCAGGTTGCAGAGGCACGCGAGGCTCCAGTGCATGTCCTCCACCACTGGCACCAAAACGAACTTCTTCTTGAACAGATCCACGTTACGGGTCCAGTGCTGCACCTTGCTGTACGCCGCCTGACAAGACCGGCACGAGCGTAAAACAGCAGAAAAAACGTGAGTAGGTGGGCGAATACTGTTCGCAAGCCTTAGCTGTTAGACCACCGACCACGTATCCTCGAGAGGATGGAGCATTGTTCCCGCAGGGCCGATCGCCAATGGACAGCTGTTCCTTCCTAGTTTGCGAAATTTGGCTCATGAACGTCTTCCGTATCCTGCCCGTAGGCCTTTTATCTCAGGATAGTCAGGGGGCTGCTCAAGGTTGATATTTGCTGTGGTAGTCCAACCATGGACCGCTGGGGAAGATGGGGGTCGCCTAGTAAAGTTCCTCATTGCCCCTAACCAAGGAAACTCTCTCGAAAAAAAATCATTTCAGCTTGGTATCATGGAGGGGGTCGTCAAGTTATGCGTGCCTTGTGTCCTCGTCAGTGCTCCATCGAGAAGCTAAGAACCCTGTAATAGGGAAGCCGTGCTCAAAGTTCTCCCATGATTGGCCAAAACGGGTTCGGGATAACATACACAAAGATACAAGCAATAGAAAGTAACAAGTAACACTTTACGGCGTCTTCCCTGGCGGGTAGTGCGTTCGATGAAAAAAAAAAATAAAAAAAGACCCCAAACACCACACACATCTGCCCTGGTCAGCGGTTAGCGCGCTCGACGCCAACACACGCCACGCACGCACACAAGCAGGCTTACATCGAAGTCGTAGATCTTGCTCTCCGTGAGCTTCGTGAAGAAGTGCGAGGTGAAGACATGCACATTGCCGTCGTCCATGGACCCGCCCTTCGCCTTCGATCTACTCGCACGAGCAGAGGCGTCGCCAGCGAGAGCGGCGGCAGCGGCGACGTCGCCAGTGTCGGCTCCTTCGTCGTAATCTGCACCGCTGCCACGAGCCTCGTCCCTGCGTCCGGCGACACCATCGCCGCTAGCACCACCACTACCCTCGCCGTCACCGCCGACACCGTTGGCCCACTCTCGAAACCCTTCTCGGTGCATGTGCCTGTACCGACAACGGCAGCACGGATGGGGGGGATGACTGCTCACCGACACAAACGTCCAAAGACAAGAAAAACGCTAGGCACGTGCATAGCAGACTCTAGAACAAACTGTGTCACGGTGCGTATCTCCTTCCTGTGTGACCGTGGCTGACACGCCAAGCATGCACCGAAACGTGTTGGACTGGTGCCAGATGGGATGGAAACGCAGACACGCGGGTCGATGATTCGCGTGTACACGCCGTCTTGAGCTTCACGGTCTACGAGGGGAAAAGGAGCCCGTTGATTTCGACTCCAAGGGGTCACGGCAACAAGCTCGTCGAAAGCAAGGGCGGAAAACAAGAAAACACACAAAGTCCTGTGTGAC